AATAAATTAATTAAAAATAAATAAATAAATATATTTAAAAGAAAAAAAAATGACAAGTGGCGTTAGGTAAGAAGCATACAAATTGCTCTAACACACTAACAAGTAACACGAGTTTTGGGTTTTTATTAGAATCGGGGGAAGAGGGTGCGGTCTCACCAGGTGAAGCGCACCATAAGAGTGTGGACCTAGATGTAACTTTGTGAGGTTTTATTCAAAAACCGATTGGTGAATGAAGGAGTAGCCCACTAGGCTTACATACTAAGCTCATTTTTTCTACAGAATCAATGTGGGACAACTCACAAGTGATACTCCAACATTTTTCTTTATTTTATTTATATGTTTTTTTAACATTTTATTCCTATTAATTTAGGGCATTTCTTAACTTGGCTCAAATTTGTTAGTAATAATTAAACTGCAAATAATGAAGGTGGTGGGGAAAAAATAAAAGACACTATGGGTCACTACAAGAAAAATTGCATTTGGCGATGTTTATTAATGACGCTTATTGGCGAGTTGTGTTGCTAAATTTGATGTCAGAAAAAAATAAGCGTCAATAAACAAAAAAATAAGCGTCGTCAAATGCAGTTTTTCTTGTAGTGGGTGATCTATATAAAAACTGTTTTATTGTGCTAATATAAATTTTTGTGTGAAGTGGTCTAACTGTTAAGCAAGTCTACGGGTCATACTATTAGTCTTCATGCAATGATATGCTTTGAATGAGATAGAGAAGTTATTCCTCAAATAGCTTTCTCTTGTAATATATGCTTAGTTGTATAATAGTCTTTAATAATTACATTATGCATATATGCAAATAGAAATGAATAAAAGGCAGTCAAATAGCTACATGACTTTTGGCTTCAGATAGTTGACTTGCTTTATTTTGTTTATATAGTGGCAAAATAACATGAATGTATGATATGACATAAATAGCACTATTCTAAAAATCGGCTTATGCTGTGTTTAGACGATACCCGGACGCTTCCGATTTGCACAAATCGACCAGGCGGCTAGGCAGCGCCTAGCCGCTACTAGGCGGACTTCGCGGGCTCGGCGGCCAGGCAGTTAGGCGGCGCCTAGGCGGGCATAGGTTGACCTAGGCGCTCCTAGGCGAGCTCGACGGTAATTTTTCAGTTTTTTTTAAAATATTAATTACATTATTTTGTTCTCATGTTTTTTTTTAATATATATTATTATTATTTGGACTTGGGTGTGCAGATTTATTATAAGTTGAGATAACTTATTTTGTAGGTAGTTAAAATAAAGAAAAATAAAATATTTAATATTGATTTCTAGGCCCCGACTAGGCGCCGGCTAAGCTCTGCCTAGGCGCTCTAGGCGCTAGGCGCTGGTCGAGTGCCTAGCGGAAACCTAACGACTTTTAGAACACTGATATATAGTATCCAAGTAAACTTATATATATATATATATATATATATATATATATATATATATTTTTATTTTTTATTTTTTGGTAAAAGTTATATGAATTGTTTAAACTGTTACCAATAAATATTGAATAAGTAAATAAATAAATAAAAATAACTTGTCCAATATTTTTAAGAATAAATTTTGATTAAGATTCTTTGTTTATTTATTCCCTATCAAATATACATGACTTCCATTAGACAATCCAAATTAAAATAAGATGCTTGAGTTCTTTTCATAATTTAAAATAATTCACCTCCTTTATTTATAGCATGTAAGCATTATGATTTGTTCATACGTGTTTTGCTTTGCTGACAATTAATTAGATGGAAACTGATCACTATACAACAAAACACTTTTCCCCTCAACTAACACACATATATATAGAGTCTTATTAAACTTAGAAATTGATCATATTCTTAATTATCATTAATCTCCCTTTAACTAAAACTTCATTCAATAATTTTATTTATTTTTATTTACTTATGGTTTAGGTTGACTTCTTTGGTTCCATTATTTACTTATTATTTAAGATACGATTTTAGGTCCGGTGGAGTTTGGTTTGGTCGATAACTCATTCGGTTATTTTGATTAATGATCAGAGTTTTGTTCGATTAAATTTAATTGAACTGAACGATACTCACCCCTAATTACAATCAATAAATCGATGTGAAACCAAACACCACATAATGTTATGGAAGATAAAACATTGTAACAATACTTTGCAATAAAAAAAATAATCAATATACTTATAATTTTTGTTTATCAATCAATAAACAATACACAAATTATTACCATCTTATGGTGCAATAATTTGTGTATTTTTAGTTAATAAAAGCAATATTGCGACCTAGTCGAGTCACTCTATGTGGCCCTTAACTCAATTTTTGATTGGCTTTAATACACTTTAATTTGTGTTGTGCTTTCTGCATTGGCATTGCACCAAATATTTCATATCTTAGGGAATTTTTCAGTGTCTTTTGGAATCCGACTGTTTTGCCCATTACAATCAACTTTAAATATACCATCACATATATACCTTAATTACTATGACGTACTTTAGGGATATTCTACGGTCCCCTTGCGGAATCATTCCATCATAATTTGCAACTGTTAGATCTACTATTCATGACGGTTAATTACATGATGATCCAACGATTACAAATCTCGACAGAATAGTTCCGTAACGGGACTGTAGCATTTTTTCCGTATTTTGTTCCTAAATTTCGATTAAAAAAAAAAGATTTATTCATTGCAACTTGCAAGACTCCACTTATTAAAATTTGTTGATCTCTTTAATGACGAATTGGTATATTAAAGATGGGATCAAATTCGATTTGGTGAATATTGTTTTAAAAAATATATATATTAATTTGAATATTATGGCACATGCATGATTAAATTTTTGTTTTAGAAGTGAATGTGGAATCTTGTGGTGAGTGGAATTAGAATCAAATATATTCATGGAATAATAATTATCAAATTTCATTTTAATTTGCATTTGAATTCACGTACACGATTTGAAATAACACAAAATTATCTATATACGTCATAGATATATTCTTTTCAATTTTGAAATATTATCCACCAAAATATCAAACACATCTTATGAAAAAAAAGAATAATAATGACAAAATTGCAAAATACAATACTAATAAGTAATTTTTGCAATTGCAGAAAATGCCTAATAACTAATAAAAATCGAGCATAACATGCTCAAAACTGCAAAATCATACCAAATTTATCCACAAATAAATCGCAAAAAGTTGCAAAAGAATATTATTCATTAACTCACATATTCGGGCAGAATCTTCACGATTTAGTTAGTTCGTGAACGATTTGTGCAAATAAAAAAGTTACTGGAAGAAAAATTGTCATCTAATCCAAATTACTGACTATATTTTGCAATTTTCTCAAAAAATAATTATAGTCGGCAACTTCAATTGTTTGTGTATATAATTATTTAGGTATTTATACAAACAAATTATTACATAAAATCAAATAAAGTTGCCCGGATTGTTTTACTACTTTGGTGGTGTTAAATATCCCAATAAGCCATCTTTCATTGTTTGTTAAAATTGGGCAATTAATGCTAAAACAGTTAAAAATTATATTATAAACATACATTCAACCGCATGAAAGGATGATGAGTAAAGAATAAAGATCCTACCTTTTTTTTTCTATAGATATTTTTGCTGAATTATATAACGTCTTATTCAATTTGTTTTGATTAGTTCAAAACACCAATTTGTTTTGCTTTATTAATGCTTATTGTAATTTTTTTTTTATAATTTATTTTCTCTTTCAAAATATGTGCCGTGTGTTCACAAAATTGCATTATTGGGAAGCCTTTTTAAAGCTTTTACATAAGAGGAACAAAAAATTATTTGGTTAAAGAGTGAGAGTCCATTCTGATTTTGATGATTTTAAGTACATTATTTGTATTTTGTGCCACTTACTTTTACAAAAGGGATAGCTTTTTGAATGAAAATTTTTGTACTATCTAATGTAATTATTTTTGTACTATTTTCCATATAAATACATGCATGTTTAGATATATACTTCTTTAATTTCAAAAGTTAATTAAAAAAAAAAAGGAGAAAAAGAAGATCAATTTATTTATTTTTTTTCTTGGATAAAATGAAAAAGAATGAGATATATTATAATGTGTCCAACTTTTTGTGAATTGTGATGCAATCAAAATGAATATAATCAGTAATATGAATATGCCTAATGTAGAATTGGATCAATTAACGGATTGTGCATTCCACGTGTTGTGAATTATTAAAGAATCATATATTATCATTATTTTTAAGGACTTGGGAAAATTTTAAAATTCTTTCGTGAAACAGATTATTAGTTAGTCGAGTCGAGTCGAATTGTCATATATTAAAAAAAAGTACGTACTTATTGTTACTAAGTGTCATACTTTTGTTCACGTTGTTGTTTAAAAGAATGATAATTCAATTTAAAAATATACATATTTGTTAATATATATAGTTGCCTAATTGCTAATCCATAACACATTCCACGATTAGGCGTAAAAAAATTATAAGGAAGAATCAAAAGAATATTATTAGTAAAGAGGAGGCAACACTCTAATTTCCCACTACCATAGACAAAACATTATGGACCTAATGGATATCATCTCCAAAAGAAAAAAGGGGGCAAAATTTTAAACCTGAAAAAGATTATAAATAATTCAAATAGATGTCGGAGACTTTTTATAAAGATAAACTTTCCGATATGGAAGTTGTTTGGTCCAGAGAGTCTCAAGAGTTTTACCCGTCTCATGATATTCAATTGGGCTCGAAACTTTATCGAGTCAAGGTAACAAGCACAAGCTTGACTCGTTTATCAATATTGACAAATTGAGTGCGAAATTAACCAATAAAACTCGAGCCTTAACAAACCGACTGATAAAAATCCCTATTTGTGAGCCTTAACAAGCCAAACTCCCGACTAGTTTCTATTATATATTTCTCTAGATCAAAAAAAAAAAAAGTATCAATATTATATTACTTAAAAGAAGGTGAGAAATTTCATAGTACCAAAGTCCATATACAGAGCATATCACTCCACACTGAAAAGACTGAGACACTTGGTCCAACTTACAAGCATTACATAGCATTCCACTTAAGCACCAAAATGAAACACAAATAAAATGAATTCATTAAAATCAGTCAATAAACCACAATAGTGTAGCGTCTAAAAAATGAAGAGAGGGATAATAAAAACATAAAATGAAACAAAAAAAAAAAAATAAGAGCAACTCGAATATCGTCAATGGCTAGGGCTAGCAGTAGTCCTTCTGTTGAAAAAGGTAAATTCAAAGGGTGTATCTAGCAATCCTATCAACAATCACAAGATAACAATTTTTTTTTTTTTCCTTCTATTTTGAATAAATTCGGTTCAAGAGCCACAGCAAGCGGATTTTTGAATGGCTTGGGCAGCTCCAATTGTTTGGTCCGGTTGGTTAATCCTTATGGCCTGAGGCTGCATTTCATGCAAAAACCACACTTTAATTAATCTTGATATCGAACATGACATAGTATAATATTATAATATCCCGGAATGCATAACTAGGGATAACTGGTTAACGACAAATAAGCATAACTATGGAACACCAGTTATCTTTTGGAAATTAAAAAATACTCACTTGTTAGAAGTTATATATGTCCCACATGAATTATTTATTGGGATGTTCTTATGTATAAATCTGGGTTTTGCACCCTCTCCTTTGAGCTTGTTTGTTCGGATGAGCTAGACCAAGCCCATTTATCACCCCTCATTGTTTGTATGTTTTCATTTAACAAAACGTGTCCTATTGAGGTGTAATTTGGATTTTGCACCATAATTTTTTCAGAAAAGCATGTATTTGTAATTTCCACATAGTTTTTCCTTCATTCATTTTCTTTCTTTTTTTTTTATGTGATAAAGCTAAACCTCAAAAGTGGTAGTTTTTGGTTACTATCCCATCTCTCCTATATATAATTCCCGAATGCGCTGACTACGTGGCTGTTTCTGGTGCTTCGGAATCCTACTTGGCGAAGAATCATGCTTCGTAATTAGGTTTGGACAAATAATTATTGATATATTAATAATTAATAATCTAGGTTCGGACATTTCATAAATATTATTTAGCTAACTTAGTTATTTTAATATCACTTGTACTGATATGACCTTTTAATTTTTTGTAATTTTACATATCGAGGCACTAAGTGACTAATATATCCCTGACTTTTGATTTGTTTCCTTCAATTAGTTTTTGAATTATAAATGTATTTTAAAAGTTAATAACTTTTGTATTTCTTATCGGTTTTACATATATAATATATCAAATTAATCATCTTTTCATGATCTTCGATTTGACATCCATATTGTATATATAAAATAAATAAATTATATTTATCTTTATAATAATAAAAAATAATAATATTTATTAAAATTTATTAGAAAAATAAAATTATTTCTCAGTTGATATATTTATGTTTAATGTAGTTATATGTTGTAAGTTAAAAAAATTATTATAATATAACACAAGTAAGTCACACAAATAAAAAGTGTCTTACTAAATATATAATAACATATATATTTAATAAAAGGTATTTAAATTTTCAACTACTTTTCATTAATTTAGATTTTAAGAAAAAAATTAGCAAGCACCCGTGTAATACACGGGCGTTGTACTAGTATCACTTGATACCTCAGTCTTGGAGTCTGTCTCGGCAAGTCTTTGCTTGATGTCCCTGGCGATTGAGAAGAAAACCTCCTCCACGTTCAAGTTTGTCTTAGCACTCTGTTTGGCATGATAATAATTAGACCACATCATTTTGATAATTTTTTTTTTTTTTTGAACAAAAATAACAATAAACGAAAATAAATTTCCAATAAATGCAACTCACGGTCTCAAAAAACTTGATTCCATATTCATCGGCAAGTGCCTGACCTTTCGAGGTAGGAACAGCCTGTGGAAGTTTATTTGTTGTGTTAAAAACTAAAAAAAAAAAGAAACAATATTACAGAAATGCCTGCATGTCAAACAACAATGGATGATGGCAGCAGTCGATCACCATTGATGTATATGCATACCCTTTTACTTTCATCCATGTCAGCCTTGTTCCCGACGAGTATTTTGTTGACATTGTCAGATGCGTGCTGTTCGATGTTTCTGATCCAATTCCTGATGTCTGAGTAGAGGATAAAGTCAATTTTGTACAAAGTGTAAAGTAAGTTATAGCTATTATTACGCATTAAGAAAGTCGATTTAATACGTAAGGAAACCATTAATGAACAATAAAGGGAAGGTAAAACCTCTACAGAAGATCATGCGAGTAGAAAAATAGAAAGGTTGAAGAAAGAAAAGAAAATTCCGAATAAAAGAGAAATTACTGTTGAAGGATGACTCGTCCGTGACGTCATAAACCAACAATATACCCATTGCTCCACGGTAGTAAGCTGCAAAAGAAACATTCATTCATGCAAAATGAGAGAGAGGAGAGAGATTAGCGATCAATATAAAGTGTGGTGTTTTGACGAAAATATGATGTCATTCATGGCTCAAAGTCAGAATGAGTGATTTGTGCATCCACATATATGATAAACACTTCACGGAATAAAATCACAAGTATACAAAATTGAAAAGGAGATCTCCCACAAAACAGTCGATGAGCTATGGTAATAATTATAAAATGGCTCCAGGATGTGATTTAAAGTTTCTGAAATAAGATCCTACTTTTTCTAAACTTACAAGATGTTCTAAATTAGTTTAACAAAAAAGCAGAAAACACACCATCAAACAGAAATTAGCCACATAAATTCTGAGCAAAAAATCCTAGATCCTGCTATATGTTTAGACAATCACCACCAGGTTTAAAGTGTCTGATGACCATTTTTCTATGGCATTGTATTTGACAAGTCACCTTATACATTACCATGGCATGTCAAACTCAAACAAAAGCCATTACATAAAGTTAATGCCATGGTCCCGACTTAGGGAGTTGGCTAAACAAATTACCAATGAACTCCCTCCCTCCCTCCCTCCCT